CGGAACTCAAGAACTTGGAAGATTCCATCCGCAACCTGGAATGGAAATCTTGCAATGGTCTAAGACACTCGAAGAAGTTTCTGAGGGCTTATGATCAAGAAAAATTACAGATCTTCCTGGGTCTGAGTAAGAACAATCTTCGGATGTCACGGGGTTTTTAACGGGACACTGTCTCCTCAATGAACACCTCAGTAGATTGAAACTAAGAAGAAACGGCGAATGCAGATTCTGTGGGGAAGATGGTGAAACACCAGTACACCTCATCACTGAGTGCGCCGAGACGACAACCATTCGTGCCATGAATTTTGGTACGACTGATATTGGAGATGGAGAACTACCCTCTATAAAACCGTCCCAGATACTGGCTTTTGTCAAAGCCCTGGGACTGTATGATGAGTTATGATTCAAGAAAGGGGGACACAATGGATCTCTAAGGTCGAAGTGATTAACCCCCCTCCCACTCATTCTAAATTCTAAAAAAAAAATCTAAGATAATAATTCTTCTATACACCTTTCCTCTGACTTGAGATATCTGGAATTAAATCTAAATAATGCAATCTTTTACAGAGGCAAAAATAGTTGTTTCATAATTCCATAAAGTATGATCCGCAAGTCTTCAAATAAAATAAAAAAATGATTTTTAATCTTTTTCATTCTCGCTCCTGGAATGTTCCAATTGAAATTTCATCGATTCAGTTCTTTTACGCCTTTGCCCATTATCCATAATGCGCGATAGCAACAGCTTCCGCATAAAAGAAAATATGACGACTAACGACCCCTATGCCGCCTTTAAGACCGTTTACTTGCGAAAAACGTCGATTCAGACTTCTGTATCTGGTCGTTGGAAATGCACGGAGATAGAAAACTGTTATCTCAGCGTGACCGAGTTTTATTACGGCGCGTCGTCGTTGCAACGGCGGCGGATGCCATAGAATTTTAAAGGATACAAAACATTTCGGTAACATGAGGTTTCGCTCGTAACATTTCATAAATTATGGATTTTTCTTTTACGTCGAATTGAATTAATATTGAAACCAGGTTTATGACTCCGAGTTATTGGCGTTTGCGTGGAAAATGATTTGATAAGAGAGAACGCAATTAAACTTCATTACTTTGTACATGCATTTATGTTTCTTTGTATTAACCTTTGAATAAGAAGACTAAGGAAGGAGCATATCAAAAATCTTAGGTACACCGCGATGGGCCTCAAATATGGCCGACTTAAATTCCGGTTTATCAGTGTCGTTCTAATTTTATTTAAAAAATGTAAAATTATGATGTAGGGTAGACTCAATAATTTGTTGTTTTATTTTACGTTGTGAATAAATGTTGGTAGTTATTAAAATTGTTATAAAAATATTTTAATTCTAATAAAAATAGATAAGTTATAATAAGTATTTATTACCACAAATATCCGATACGCTACTGAAGCAGGTAAGTCAAATTAACGTATCTAAATTCTTTGACATCTAATCTTTGACAAGTAATAACTAAAAGCTAAAATGCAAGAAAAATATATAATTTAGTTAATTTAAGTGAATTTCATAAATGATCGGTTTACTACATGTATTTATATTATATAGTCACTTACTAGCGAAAAGTTGTTCCATTATTTCACTCAATTTTTGCCGAGATCTTCCGCACGCTACACAACCAACTATTTTAGAGTCTTTTTCGATAAATCGCGATAGTGTCACTGTTAATTTAAGTGCTGCCACAATTTCCATCTAGATTTACTACCTTTATATAACTATCAGTAGTAGAATAAATAATAAACAACATAAAATAAGCTCCATAAAGACTGACAAATCCACAAAATTTCAAATCAAATTCAAATGTGTCAAATGAATCGTCAAACAGAACTGTCAAGGATCCCCACCCTAGAGTGCTTTTATGGCGCTTTTTCCGCCCACCATGCATGAATACATGGATAGCATTATGCTCCTTCCTTAGTCTTCTTATTCAAAGGTATTAACCTACTATTTATCTTTTTTATTTTTTCGGATAAAAAAACGAGATTTGGTATGTTAAGACGTATTCAATGGTTTTCGGTTACTTCCTGTTTCACCGGAACTGACTACAACTTTTGATTTTTAAATGACACCCTCAATATTGTTTTACTTTATTCGATAGAAAATGATACTCTGAATCGAATGACATATATGTAAACTTTTGACATTTTCGCTCAAATACAAATTGTATTTTAAATTTGAATCTAGAGTGCCATGACTGTGAAGGAGCCTTGGAAAATAGATTTGATCGTCTAATGTTTTTCGTGTATTGTCCTGATCGGTTAAAAGATGCCCAAATCGTATTTTTAAGCATATCTCAATTTTTTCAAATGGAACGAGAGTGGCTCATTAGTATATTTGGAAGAAGCATTTTTTACGAATAATTTGATACAACAAACTTGGTATTTCGAGTCAAATTGTCGTTATGAAGCGCATGTTACAATTTCAAATAAACCAAAGAATATACCTAGCTAGAAAAAGAATGGACTCTGCCATACTGAAAAATGGTCCTACAGAAGTGGCCCCATCTATTGAGTAGGGTTTAGGTCATAGCGCCAATCATAATATTATCAAATAAATGATTATCAAAATGTTTTTCAAACTTTACTACAATTTGTTATATGTGTTTTAATTAGACAATTCCTTTTGTTTGTGGCCCTAAAAATATAATGTAAGTCTTTTATCTTTGCCATCATTTAAGTACCTATTTATATTTACTACGTTGGTCTTGTTTTATTATAATAAACGATGTTTAAATATTTGACTTATAAATAAAAACTTTATAATAAATAATATTTCACATGTTTGACTTTAATTTTATTTAATAATTGTATAAATTATACTGTTAAATCTTATTTTTTACACGTCACAACGATACTTGTTATTAGTATTGTTGAATTTGTGTAAAAAATAAGATTTAATAATGAGATTTAATTATTTTAGAGTAGAATTCAATAAATACGCTCATTTAAAAAGCCCGCGCTTCGATCCATTTAAAACAAGCCCTACTCAATAGATAGCGCCACTTCTGTAGGACCATTTTTCAGTATGGCAGAGTCCATTTTTTTTAGCTAGGTATATTCTTTGTTTTGTTCTAAAATAATTAAATTTGATTATTAAATCTTATTTTTTACACAAATTTAACAATACTAATAACAAGTATCGTTGTGATGTGTAAAAAATAAGATTTAACAGTATAATTTATACAATTATTAAATAAAATTAAAGCCAAACATGTGTAAATATTATTTATTATTTAAAGTTTTTATTTATAAGTCAAATATTTTAACATCGTTTATTATAATAAAACAAAACCAACGTAATACGCCCAAAGTTTTGTAAATGGAGTAAATGTAAATAGGTACTTAAATGATGGCAAAAATAAAAGACTTACATTATATTTTTAGGGCCACAAAAACAAAGGGAATTGTCTAATAAAACACATATAACAAATTATAGTTTGAAAAACGTTTTGATAATCATTTTTGATAATATTATGATTGGCGCGATTTTTTGAGAATTTGACAATAGTATGACAATGGCCGTTGGAAACTATGGAAACTACAAAAAAAATCTGATTGAACGCCATCTGGCAATAACTAGTACCAATTTCTTAACCTAAAAATTAATTTCACTACCAACTAGCGCCCGAGGCTGGAACTATTTTATTTGAAATTTCCGTGGAAACGGTGGAACCGCTTTTGCTATTTCACTTTCCGGCCTGAAATAAACCATATGCGAAAATGTCAAAAGTTGCCGTATGATATGTCATTCCATTCAGTGTCATTTTCTATCGAATAAAGTAAAAAAATACTGAGGGTACCATTTAAAAATCAAAAGTTGTAGTTATTTCCGGTGAAACCGGAAGTGATCGATGGAAGATATATGAAAGAACACATATGGAAGGCACTCAAATGAAGAATTAGATAAATAATACAAAAATAATAATTTGTGTCTTTATGCTGAAATACTTTTCTATATTAGGTTATTTCTTTATTAGTTTTTACTTGCTGTTTCTCTTTTAACGTTTCTTTATTAGTACAATGTAATATTAAATTTTATATATTTATAAGTAAATTTTATTGCCTTAAATAAAAGATTTTGAAAATTTTATTTTCAAAATCAATGTCGACCAGACTATACAATATTTTATTGGTGCAGTTTGGTTTGAGCAAACCAGTTTGCGCAAATTAACTGAGAGTCTAAACAGCTCTTTAGAGAAAATTAAAAAAAAAAACATGAGTAATTTAATTGAATTTTTTCTAAGTCCTCAAAATTAAAAGACACGGTAATATAATTTCGGTTTCATTCTTTAATACATGGTTTAATTAATTTTGTTTAAGGTTATATAGGGTCGATTTTGATGTTATTAAAGTAGGTATCACTATAAATGTTGTGTTTCACCTTGTTTCCCTAACATTTTAAAACAGTAAAAAATATGACGTTAATTATATTACCATAGAAACGCGTTTGGATTTTTAGGACTTTGTTTTTTATTTTCTCTAAAAAGGTATGGAAATTTAGAAAAATATAAACGGGATCAACCGTTTTAGAACAAGCAAACATTTTTATGAAGAATGTATTTTTCTTAAAATGTCAATAATAAAGAGATTTTTCCTCTTGTAAAGCCAATCCGGAGACATACTGTAGTTTGATTATTACACAGTTTAAGGAATTATACTTGCATAATTTTATTTATTTTTGTTCTTGACGGAATGGCGAAGGTTCCATTTTTACTTCATATCGCAGCACCAGCTCAGATCTTCATTCCTTTAAACGAGATAAAATTAAAATAATTATAAAGCCCTTAAAATAGCATTGTTATAGTTTCATTTAATTTTTGAATAATATATAGGCTCATACCATTCTGACAAAAAATATCAGTATGTATTTCTATCTAACAAAAGTTACTTAATGAATATATTATTTTATTAACCAAGTTATAAAACAGAATCAGTATCAGAAATAAAACAAAAAAAAAACATCATGAGTTGGTTTAAAGTATATTTCAGTCATTTTACAATTCAACTTTTGCTAACACCTCTTCCACTAATTTCTTGTCATCGGCTTCAAACCACTCACGGTAAACTTGAACAGGATCAATCATCCAATGTTTGTGGAATGTAATTGCGTCCATGGTTGCCAATCGCCCTTCTGCATAATCAGGAGGCCTTGCCTAATACAAACGTCAAAATAAAATCTTCATTTCCACACTGTCAATTTAAAGAATTCCAATACCTGATGCATTTGAGGAATATGAATAATAGTTATACCCAATTTCTCGGCGCATGCTCCTAAAATCATATCATCTGGTGAATCGGGTCTGGAACATTTACAAGAATCAGCTAACAGTTGGAGGGCGGCCTGATTTATCAGAATACCCGCACCCCCTGTCGCGTAATCAAAACCTTCTGATCCTGGGCCCCCAAAGCGATAACGCTCACCTAGCATAATAGGCTCTGTAGTGTCGTAACATCTTGTAAGACTAGCTATTCGAGAAACACTGAAATAAGTTCCATTTGATAAATAACCTGATCACAATGAACAAGCACCTTCGCCCACTTGTCAAGAATTTTATTTTTTGAAATAGGTATAAAATTTAAAATAAAAGTGCTCAAATTTAAAACTAAAAATAAAGAAAATTAGCTGTATAAGCTGTGATAATAATCTCTATAAGCTGTGATAATTTAAAAACAAAAATTGATAATAAAATTAATTAACTCTGTATTTACCTTAAAACAGTGTCATCATCTACTAAAACTAACCATGTGAATTGAGATTCTTGCAACATATCCTCCACAAATTTTAATATTGACATGGTTTTTTCACAATGCCCATGATCCGTATTTTTTACACCCAATGAAACAGTTGGCACTGATGCATCTATTACGAAGATAATACTTTGATTATAAAATGTTAATTTTGGATCACTTCTTACCTTCAACATCACTGAAATACATAATTTTTGAAGCAAACTGACCCCAAGTCTTTTTCACAGCTTTAATTCGATCTACATGAAATTTCTGACAAGTCTTTACTGCAAAGAATATTGAAGAAACATGAGTTTTACCCTGTAAAATTCACAAACTAAAAGTATATAAAAAAATATTAAAAACAAATTATTGCAACTTACACAGTTAGGTATTGCTCTCGGATATGTGGCACAGTTAGGGCCTTCCTTACTACAAAATGCATTATCATTAACAATCATGGGACCCTTGCCATCATTATAAACAAACAAAGCCAGTTCATATGCAGAATCTATATGAAAATCAGGCATTTTGTATTTCGCATTTTCCAATTGACTTTCTAATCTACAAAAACCAACATAAATAAAACCATATTAATTATATGTTCCTAATTTTTGTATTAAAATATAAGTTTGATTAATATTTTAAATAGACTAAATATCATACTAAATTAAATATATATGTGCTTACCTTTTCAATAACGGCATACTGAAAACAATGCCTGATCCTATATTAGGATATTTAAAAAATTCTGGATTTTTATAAAACCCAAAATGGTGTATAATTGATGCCTCAGTATCATGAAGTGCATTGCCAATCCAAATCTCCTAAATAATAATAATTATTAAGACTCAGATCTCGCGTACTTCTTAAATAATACCTTTTGAGCATCATAGTTCTGCAGAGTATTAATAAGTAATTTTAAAGAAACAGTACAGCGATCCTCTACAAATACAACCCATTCACAGGATTCTGCAATATTTACTATTGGTGAAATTAAAGGGAAAAATGTCCAATCTCCAGAAATGTTAAATTCTTTGGTAGTAAAATATACCTTAGGTTCTTTCTGCAAGTAATATAGTTACCTCAGTTACAATATTGGTTACAACCTCACAGTAAAATTTGGTACGATTAGAATGAGATACATCTACATAAAAAAATAACTCACCACAGATAAAACACTACTTTCTAACTGAATGGCTTCCTTAAGTGTTAGTGCATAATTAACATTAAATTGAGAGTTTTGGCTAAGTATAATAATGGTAATATTTGGAGATTCTAAAAACACACATTTTAAATATTACAACAGTACAATAATACATAAATATTACAAACCTAGAGCTACAGTAAAACAAATCACAGACATGAACACAAGGTAATGCATCATTATTAAATTCATTTCTAAATGACTTCTTATAATATATATTTTTCAAGCTGAATAAACTATTTGCTGATTAGTACTTATATTATATCTTTGGACATATTTGACTAGAATAAAAATGATGCAAAACACATCCGTGGGTTGCTAGCCCACACAAACGCATTCCCAATAATCACATTGATTTCCTAAACAAGAGAATTGTTATTAAAAAACAAGCTTGAAATAAATATCAAAGGTTGTTTATATATTACCTTACAACAACCTTTTTTCAATCATTATACAACATTTTACTCTATTAACTTTAAATTAATAGAAGATAAATCAATTCGAATGCTAAATAAAATTCAAAAAACTACAAAACAAAAACATAAACTTAACCTAACTTATTCACGTCAATGCTGTATGTTTAGTTGCCTATACTGGACGAAGTGTTTTAAAAATAAAGAAGTTGGTTGTTAAATGATAATATAGGTGGAGCAAGGGTACAAACTAATTTTAAATCCAATCCAACTTAAAGTTTTTCGAGTTAGTCGACTAAAACGCGCGAAAGTATAAAAATGCCAACATCGTTGTAATAAGCGCTCCTCGACGCGCTTTTTTTTCTCGAAATACTATTAGTAAGAAATTATGTACATCGAATATTTTTGAACCAATTAAATAAATTGTGTAATTGTTTATTCATAGTGTATGCATTTGGAAAAAAAACTTCAGAATGAAGGGCGCGTCTTTTTGCAATAGCAATTTCAGTGCGTTTTGTGTGTTGTGCGTGATATTTTTGCAATGTCTTTCTGTTTACGGTTTCAACATTGACGCTTTTAACTATGCGGTTTATGGAACAAGGGAAGAATCAATGTTTGGTTTTACTGTGGCTGTACATAAGCAAGGACATGAAAGGGGATGGTATGTAACTTATTTTTATTATTACTTTAACACGAAGATAAAAATTATTTCACTTTACTAAATTAAAAGTTAAAAATTATGCCATGAAATAAAATTACTAAAAAAATTCAATAATCATTTCAAATAATATTTCAAATTTTACTAGATTTAAAAGGAACCCTATAAAAATAAATTGTTGGTATCAAATTGAGTTACGATGTTAAGAAAATTAATTATACTGGTTATTTCATACCGTATTTGTTATTTGTTTAAGGAATACTTTAAATTGTGATGATAACCTTGGAGAAAAACTAAAAATATTATTTATATAAGCATATATCCAATATTGGAATTAGAAAATTGTTAATAAAACAATTGTTATTTTTAGAATGAATTTTATGTAACTGTCGACAATTTATTACGTCAACATACTTATATTTTTACAATAAAAAGTTTCTAATTTTAAAACAAATATTAAGTGACCATTTGGCATAGTATTATTACTTCTCAATTTTATTTTTTCCTCTGTAATAATTCTAAAATATACTATTATTTCTTTTTAAAATAAGAATACTTACCTGCCTTCAAAAATAATTAGAATATTTAATGTACTACAGGACCAGGCATTCCCTTGTTTTAATTAAAATTCATTAGTCCGAAAAAGTAGCAAAATAAGCATTCGGCTTTAACGTTTTATGTAAAACTGGCTATGTATTTTTACACAAATGAAGAAGGAAATTTAATATAAAGGATTATACTATATCCGTATTGTAGCACATTTTTAGACAGCTTTTTTATTTTTAAGATTTTTATGGGCAAACATCAACAAAATATTTCTTATGTTTGGACTAAATTTTCTCGAAACTAAAGACATAATTGAATATTCCGTTACAATACGGAAATAGATTGAAGTTTTGTGATTACAGTGATATATAATTTATATGGTTTAATGCTGAAGCTCTGCAAACCTTAATCAAGCTTTAATCAAAGCACGTGTCTTTGGAATTTTGGGTATGGCTTAACACGACAGGATCAGGGTAAGCTTTAGGCAGATTTCTGAAATATAATATATATTTCCTTCGGCCACATATCCGCTTTACCCAACCCCTGAGAGCAACCCGAACAGTACAGCGTAATAGACTCTTAATGATAAGAATATTAATAAAGCTAGCAGATTAATGTTTCAGCAGCTAGATTTTGACATTGCTCGTGATTTATGGTTCGCGAACAAGTTTTAAAAATGCTTTAATAGTCAACTTAAGGGTGCGATTGCCCTGTAAAGTGCCTAAAAGAAAATTACATTTATAAGTTACAGCACAGAGAGATCAGAAAAAATGTGCACAACAGAATTAATTAGTACAAATGTATTTATGTTCACCGACTATATTTTTATCGTAATTAAAATATAGTTTAAAACAGAGGTTAATATTTATCGAGCTGTAACCTTGACTTTACATAATAAAACGACTTTTAATATGCAATAAATTGTGGAAGTTCCTACGTGCAAAGACGATTTGGAAAAATTATCTCAGACAATAGTGCCGCCAAATTTACATATATTACATTTTTTATTTATCACTTTTGATTGTTGCAAATTGATATAAAAAACACGTATAAAAATAAATCAGTAAAACCTTATGATCGGGAAAAAGGTAGTCTAGTTGACTTTGAAATGACGATCGATGTCAGTTTACATAATATAATGGCAGATAACTAGGTAATAAATTATAAAAGTCGTTTAAACTGGGAGAATTATTTAAAATCATTCTGCGTTATTGGTCTTTTTACCAATTTTACTACCAATGCCTTATTTTTATTCTAATTTGAAAAGGTAAAAATTATGCCTTATAAAAAGACAGACTCTTACAGTTCACAATATTTTTTATTCATGAAATTTGCAATAAAGGCATTCTCGATGTGCTATACAGGATGTTTAAAAAAACTATGAGCCACCTCTCGTGGGGAGATTACTCATGTAAAAATATATCCGACTCTAGGTCCGACTCTGCTTTGTTTCGTAGCTACAGGGGGAGGGGGGGGGGGTAAATTGTTCATTTTTTTTCAACTATAAGTACATACTACATATTTTAATGCAAAAAAACAGTGTCGACATATTTATCAGAGACGTGCATATGCGTTATTATCATTGGAATATTTTTCTAAAAAAAGCATCACCGCCACTGACTTTCTTTCTCTTGTTAGCGAAATAGTGTAGACCGTTCAATGCCAATTAAAAGTTGTCGCTTGATATTTTGTCTATTTCGGCCTCTTTGATGAGAAAACACAATTTTATTAATTTATCTTAATCCAAGTCAATAGAAACCATTAAAAAATGTCAAATGCAAGTTAAATGTCATTAACTGGCCAAAGTGTTAAATAAATACTCATTGATTTCTCATCAAAAGATATAAAAAAGTTCTTATAAACATAGGTGTGGAAATGCATAGTTTTTTAGTTACAGGGTCAAACAGAGTGTTAAAACTTTGGCTGTACTTAAACTGCCGTTAAACGGTAGCTTACTAAAATACCGTTAATAGGTATGACGTCGTTGATGTGACGCACTTGACGGCTTTATGAAATATAGAACTAACCAACGCTATCCACCCCACCAAATAACCAACTTAACCTTTGAATAAGAAGACTAAGGAAGGAGCATATCAAAAATCTTAGGTACACCGCGATGGGCCTCAAATATGGCCGACTTAAATTCCGGTTTATCAGTGTCGTTATAATTTTATTTAAAAAATGTAAAACTATGATGTAGGGTAGACGTGGGGTAGACTCAATAATTTGTTGTTTTATTTTACGTTGTGAATAAATGTTGGTAGTTGTTATAAAAATATATAATTCTAATAAAAATAGATGTTATAATAAGTATTTATTAACACAAACATCCGATACGCTACTGAAGCAGGTAAGTCAAATTAACGTATCTAAATTCTTTGACATCTAATCTTTGACAAGTAATAAATAAAAGCTAAAATGCAAGAAAAATATATAATTTAGTTAATTTAAGTGAATTTCATAAATGATCGGTTTACTACACGTATGTATATTATATAGTCACTTACTAGCGAAAAGTTCCATTATTTCACTCAATTTTTGCTGAGATCTACCGCACGCTACACAACCAACTATTTTAGAGTCTTTTTCGATAAATCGCGATAGTGTCACTGTTAATTTAAGTTCTGCCACAATTTCCATCTAGATTTACTACCTTTATACAACTATCAGTAGTAGAATAAATAATAAATAACATAAAATAAGCTCCGTAAAGACTGACAAATCCACAAAATTTCAAATCAAATTCAAATGTGTCAAATGAATCGTCAAACAAACTGTCAAGGATCCCCACCCTAGAGAGCTTTTATGGTGGCTTTTCCGCCCACCATGCATGAATACATGGATAGCATTATCCTCCTTCCTTAGTCTTCTTATTCAAAGAACTTAACCAACGCAACTAACCTAGACACTGATAAAAAAAATTAAAAAACAAATATAAATTGGTAAAAAACCAACCAACCCCACCAAATAACAAACTAACCAATGAATTAACACCCTCCAAATAACCACGCTAACCAACCCGCCAAATAACTAAACCAATCCAACCAAAAAGAGTGAAACCAATGCAATAAGATCACGCTATAAGCAAAAAAAAATATAAAAAAGTCTTGGTCGGAGTGAGATTTGAACCCCGGACCATTCGCTCACGAAGCGATAGCCTCAACCACGGAGCCACAGGTGCTCTTGCAAAATGCTTATGGCCAGGTATTACATTCCGCCGACATGAACGACGTCACAATATCTATTAACGGCATTTCAGTAGGCTACCGTTTAACGACTGTTTAAGTACATCGCAAAACTTTTAAAAAATAGTTCTTTTATAATTATCTTAAATACCATTATTTTTCAATTTGAATTTGTTGTAGTTAGGACTATTCTAATAGTTATAATAACTAATAATGATAATATTTAACTATAAATTAAATAAAAGAAATAATTTATTAATTTTATTTTTATTTAAATTTTATTAACTGTGATTAATAAAAGAGTTTATCTCATGAAGGAGATATAAATCGATAAAATATCCTGATACAAGTTTAACCGGCATTAAATTGCTTATTTCTTGCTTTTTTGGATATTTTTGAGTGTCCTCCAAAAGATTCGTACAGAGGCATACTAAGGGCTGGCAAATGTTAGTTTTCGGTCGAGAAATCTCTGTAATGAACAAAGACAGAACAGTAAAAACGTTGCCAAACGTATGAAATATACTAAAAAAATTTTGCTAAAAATAAGTGGAATTGAGTTGGTGTTTTTGACAGTGGTCGCGCTATTAGAACTCAATTTTCAATTAGAATTCAAAAATTGATATCTCTAAATCCATTAGAAGTAATTGATAATAGCTTTTTTCAAAAGCTTTCTGAATATTTGAGGTGTAAAGTTGCAAAACACGTCTTATCCCACAAACGTTGTTTCGAGATACTAAGCAAAAACTGTTTTAGCAAATGTTTGAAGCGTTAATTTACAAAAAAAAACGTGTCTATTGAGTGGAATCATTGTTTTGTATCTCGTTTTTCTAGGAATAAAAATTAATATTTCATTTTTAAACAGAAAAACTTGGAAAACTAACAAACAAATACACCAGAAACTCGAAGACAATCAGATAACAGAATAGCCAAAAGAAGTCAGAAAACACTTTTCAAAAACTACCACAAAATTCAATATGTTTGGGTTGAAGTCAAAGAAATAACACAATTAAATTATAAAACCGTTAAGAAAAAAATTATAATCATGATATTTAAAAAAAATGATATAAACGTAGACGATTTCGACCAACTTACAAAATAAGAACAATGCCTTCGATACCATTCGGTTGTCGATTAAATGCGCTGAAAAAAAAATCGGATAACTAAAATTATTAAAATGTAATATGTTACACTGTTGTATATAATATATTTTAGTTAGTAAAAATTAAAATATAAAAAACAGACACATCACAAACTCTTGTATCCCTTAAAAAC